ATCAGAAGCACACACGACAATCAAGGCCTGTCCCCTATAACCCATCTCTATAAGCTAAACCACAAGTCCCAAGGGTTCTGTTGTCAGTGTTCTGGGTGTTTCCAGGTTTGGGGTGTCTTATCCACAAAACTGAAACAGCACACATCAATGTCAAAGCACAAGAAATGTGATGTAAAGAGATGGTGCTGGGTCTAACACAAGGAAAGGGGGGGCTACTTGAGCAATAATGCCATAAAGCAGTGGTTATTCTTTGGGACTTTCATCCGTGGGATCCAGGAGAAGGAAGAGTTGGTTGCTAAGGGGCATACTGCGGGTGCTTTGGTTTATTGTGAATGCCCTTTCCCACGAAGAACCTGATTTTATTCATACACATGCCTAACCAAGCATAGGCATAAGATGGTAAATACAAGTCTAAAGGTTTACCAGAGAACACAATTCGCTTTACTATTTATACCCCCAAGATGAACGCAGACCAGATTGGCCTTTTGCATCTAGTTCCAGGATATTTTCAATATGTTCCAAGACACACAGGAATGGACACCAAGCAAAAAATGCCAGTCACCCAAGAGTTCCCGAGGCAGGAGTGACTTGTTTGGAGCAGAATGTCCATGCAGCTTGATTCAGGTACGGCTCCAAGGTGCTAAGAGCATGATTAGAAAGGGGGTCTCCACTCGGAGTACCAAGTGGCTAAGTCTTGCTTACATTTGCCTGCCTCAGGTCTACCAATTACTGAAGCAGCTCCAGCAGCAGGGGGCGAGAGTCCAAAGCATAAGCTGCAGGGACACTGCACATCAAACCATGACATCTTTTATGTTCACCTTTATTCTAGTTCATGATAACCCCATGCTTAGGCACCACGGCAAAGCCAGAACAACCACATCTCTCCCTTTCTTAACCCGCATCTAATTATTAGCCACTCTTCCTAAATCTACCTAGACTGTGATCTGATCTCCTCTCACCTGGTTTACCCCACCACCCTGGTCTGTGCCACAAGCGCCTCTGCTGGAACTCTGTCACAGACTGGTTTTGTTTCCAACTTTGCTCTCTCCAGTCAAACTCAACACAGCAGAGTTTCTGCTGAAAACAATAAGGACAGCAAAGTATTTCCTCCTCTACTCAAAAATCTCCAGTTTTTCCCACTTCAACTCAAGGTGAAGGGCAAAGTCCCTATGGCTATCGACAGGGCTCCTGTTACCCCTGCTTACAGTACTTAGTCTGTGTTCCTTGACACATGAGCCACACTCCCCATCCCTGGCCTTTGCTTCAGCGGTCCCCTGTGACTTGAAAGCTTCCATGGTCTCATCCTCAACCCCTTCTAGTCTTTGTGGTCTGCTACCTTTTCAATGTAGCCTTCCTGCTTTGTCCTCATCATTTTCTGTACCCCATAACACTGCAAATAACATAAAACTACAAACAATACTTATAATCATTCATGTTTATTGTCTATCTGCTTCATGTAGAGTGGAGAATGCAGAACAACAACCACAGAGCTAGATACACATTAGGCACAGTGCTACAAGACAGAAGGTTTTTATTTTTGAGACAGGGTTTCTTTATGTAGCTCTGGTTGTTTTGGAACTCGCTCTGTAGACCAGGTTGGACTCGAACTCACAGAGATCCACCTACCTCTGCCTCCCAAGTGCTAGGATTAAAGGTGTGCATCACCACCACCAGGCTTAAGACAGAAGTTTTATTTTGTCAAGCTATGTAATGTTTACATTGCTGTTTAACTATATTTTATATTCCCAAAATGACTTAATATTTGAAAGTTAAGATTTTTGAATAATTAAAAAGAATGTTTACAAAACCTAGAAGGCACAGAATAGCTACAGCAAACAAATGCCATATTCTATCTTGAAGAAATTACCAGACTTTTGAGTAACTCTGCCTTGAATTTCATGCTTATTGTTCTCTTGAAGTTTAACTCCTTAAGCCACATGCTCTATATTTGTCCATTGCCTTTATATATGTTACATACAGCTGTGGGTGAATCATTTTCACTCATGTATGGTAGTCCACTATGTACATGAACAACTTATTCTTTCATTTTACTAATATTATTGTTTTAAAGTTATTCTATTATAAGCAACACGAAGGAGAGTCTGTAGATGATTTCTTGATAGCCTGGTAAAAATATTTTCTTGATTCTAAGAAATAATGATCACTGGGGCAAAGGGCATGCATGTTTTCTCAATCTCAGTTTTACAGAATAATGTCAAAGGTTGGTCAATGGCAGTTACAGTGACTCATATTTTAATGAGTCTTTAAGGTCTTATATCTTAACCATGCACCTACATGATATGTGCAAACATGCACACCACCATCTGCAAAAGTAGGTCAGAGGGCAATGTGTGAAGTTGTTTAAGGGTGGCTTTGAACGCCCACTCTTGTTGCCTCTATCTCTCCGTGCTAGGACTGCAGGTTTGCACCACAAACCATCCCTGGTTTATGTGGCACTGGGGTTAAACACTTAGTTTTATCCATGCCAGGGGGCACTCTACTTACTGAGGTAGACCCCAGCAATATTTCACAAGGATAATAGTTATCTCACCACAAGCTCTTGAAAGCCTTTTTCTATGGCTCTTCCCATTTCGCCCAAGCTGATTCTAAGTCAGCATTTTCACACCAGTTCTATAAACGTGGGTCCTTTGTGAACCCTGCCTCACCGACACAGTTAATCACCTGTAATACTATGCTACTTAATCCAAACCTCCCATTCTGTTTCTCATCAGGAATGTTTCTATTAACCCTTTGGTCTTTTGCATAAAATTTGGAAGCTTTTTTTTTAATTAGAGGAAAAAAAAAGAGGATTTTCATTGACATTGCTTTGAATCTATAATCTATAGATCAGTTGGGAAAAAAATCACAGTACTGACTTTTCCTCTTCATGTATGTTATTTCTAAATTTCTAAAGTTCTTGAAAAATTCCTAATAAGGCTTTGTCATGTTCTATACAAAGGTCTTACATACCTATTAGCCTGGTGTTTAGGTAATTGATTTTTTAAAACATGTTCTTATCAGAGCTTTTTGAATGTCATACTTTGACTGTTGCTAAGATATAGAAAGGCAGGTGGTGTGTATATTTATCTTAACAAACTATTACCATGTTGCTCATTGGCTCACCAACATACGAACCAGTTACTTTCTACATGGTATTTGTTTACTGTTTTTGTCCTGTTAAAAAGCTTGCCCTTATACTGTGAAAATGTGTGGGCTTTTGTATTTATTTATGCGTGGGCACACGTGTGGAGGTCAGAGGGCAACTTTCAGGAACTGGTTCTCTCCTTCTACAATGTGGCTTCTAAGGACTGACCGCAGGGCATCAGGCTTGGCAGCAGTTGCCTTTACCTGATAAGCCATCTCACTGGCCCAAAGTTCAAAAACATTTTTTTGATACTTTTGTGGCCTAGGATATTTTTAATTTTAAAATGTTTTTATCTGGGGAAATGAATGTGTCTTCTGTGTTGAATATGTACTTTCATGCATACATGTTAAACCAAGCCTATATAACGGTTCTGGAAAAATAGTTTTGGAGACCCGTGATTGCTACATAGTCTGGACTGACCTCACTATCATCCTTCCTTGGTCCCAAGCGTTGGGATTAAAGCCAGTAGCACCAGGCCTGGTTTCAGAAATAAGTTCTGTTTCACACCTAATTTCATTTCTTGACCATGACTTTGATGAATATCAACTTAATTCAGAATTACTTTCAAGATAATACAGGACCACATTAGCCTGAGAATATATGACCTTTGTCTGAAAGCGGGATGGGATGTTCAAACGACAGGCTGGCCAGATTTCACACAGACTGGACTAACCACTTGGACTTTGATCTGTTTGAGTCTGCTTAAAACACAAGACTTTGATCTGTTTGAGTCTGCTTAAGACACAAAGCAGAAGTGTCAACTATCCTTTATTTCACCTCTATACAGATATTTCAGTGCTCAAGCCCTTTCACCTACATTACTTCATCATTTTCTTATGAAGACAAATGGGAACAGGCAAATGTTACAAGAAACTTTGGTCTCAGAATTTATGTTACAGTTAAATGCCTGGAGAGAAAGGCCACACACAATTGACTGCGACCATTATAAAAATCATATAAAATGTTTTTATAGTGGAACCATTTAAAATGGTTTTACACTGGAATCATATAAAAGTGAAAAACTATTTATTGCAAAACGTTGGATTAAAGTCAGATCCACTTGCCAGTGGGGATAGGCACTCTCGGGGTCATCTCATCCAATTTAATTCCCTTCTTTCAAGAACTTGGGCTTAAAGTACTTCAAGCAGTGTTATTAACCTAGCCTCAGGATACTATGGTCAATTAAAATGGCACTAGTCCTCTAGAAAATGATCTTCAGACTGTAGCACAAAAGGTTACAGAAAGCAACTATTTCTCCAAAAGTGTCCAGCTTCATCCAGCTCAGTGAATTAGGCAAATGATTTTAGTCCTTAACAAGATTGCGTTGCATAATGGACACTGCCTCTACTACGGCCTTCTAATTCAGACTAACCTGAGATTCAAGGAGAAGCCACACAGGAGAAGCGTCCTTGCAGGGAAACCATTCGCGACTGGACAAATGAGAAGCCCACCCAGTTCCAAAAGAAGAAAAGCACCAAGCATAGACTTGTTCCAGCTGAAGGCAAAGGCTATGATAGATACCTGTATTGAGTAACAGTCAGCACAGCCCAGGGATCTGCCCCAAAGCCAGGCAAATTTTGGTTCAGGTAGGCCTCCAGGGACCTGACGTCGAACTTGTGCTGGGGCAGCACTTCCACGGTGTCACTGGTGACATCCATCTCCATGATTGCCACTGCTGTCACAGGGTACAGAGACGCAGAATCCACAGACAACGCAGCAGCAGCAAGGACATAGGAACTACACTTAGAGCTAGGAGGCGTAGCCAGGGCGGGGCTTAGCGGAAGCCAATCACCTGGACTCTGGGCGCCGCTGCTAAGCGGTGTGGGCGGCTGAGTCTAGTGACTTGGGGTCTGGAGGAGAATGAAGGGAGCGCCTGCTCTGGGCCCCAGCTGAGAATTTCCTATCAGCATCAGAGCTGCAGGCCTCGATTTTATGGAAAAACAAGGTCAGAAACCTCACTTGGGGGAGATTCTCCACCCTAGATTAATGACTCACCAGGCGGAAGCCCTGTGAGGTCCGGTTAAGAAGAGGGTCCCCCACGACCTTGGGGTCCCGGAGTAAAGACCTCGGTGTTCCTCATGGCTTCCTAGATTAGAAAGGCAAAATCACTGTCGGCCTGATCTGGACACTCAAGACGCTGGCCCTGCCGCGACCTGGTTTAGCGGTTCTAGAGGTGAATCGCAACTGTTTTGAAGAATGTTTTGGCTGGGGGAGCCATAGCGGCTCGCACCGGAAGCGGCGCGCCGGAAGACCGGCGGGCGTGGCGGAGACGTGTCTAACTGGGATGCCTGGAGGCTCTTTCCCTGCTGTTGGGATCCGGAAGGCTGTGCCTAGTCCACCTGCACTTCGTGGGCCCAGCGGAGCAGCGTGGGGCGGCGGCGGCGGAGGCCCAGGCTGGCAGCGGCGGCTGCCGGGGGCCCAGCCATGGCTGAGTCGGTGGAGCGGTTGCGGCAGCGGGTTGAGGAGCTGGAACAAGAACTCTCCAGAGAGAGAAGCCGGCAGGTCGTGGGCGGCCGGACCCGCATCGAGAAGATGAGCTCCGAAGTGGTGGACTCCAATCCCTACAGGTGATCCATGGCGGGGCGGGCAGGGCCACGCTCCTCTTGCGGGGAACAGCAGGCCACCTGAGGCACCTTTCTTGCTGTGGCGGTCCTGTCCCTACATGGGCAAGGCCACGTTTTAGTGCTAGTCAGAAGATAATCCTTGCTGAGCGTAGTGGCTCGTGATTCATTCCAGCATTCGGGAGGGTGAGGTAGTGGTGTTGTTGCGAGTTCCAGGCCAGCCTGGCCTCCATAATGAGTTCTAGGCCAGCTTGGGCTGTATCTTGAGACCCCTTTCTCCTGCAAAGAAAATCCAAGGCAGACATCCATATGGTTCAGCTGTTGTGCCTGCTGTCCTGTGCCCAGTTTTCTGCCACCCTTGACTCTTTATTAGTCTACCTCGCTCTGCACAAGGCTGATTGCTAGCAAGCTCTGTCAGAACATGACATCTTATGTAAAGCTGCCAAAGAGAGACTACAGTTACTGAAAGACCTTTCAGTATAACTGAGATGAGGCAGGGCGAGGGAGAGTTGATTACTAGGGGGCTCAGAAACATCTCTGACTATCGACTTTGCTAGGCCTGCTTACTGCTGACCCTAAAGGACTTTCTAGTTTATGAGGGAGAATACAGAGCAGTGGTTAAGTGGTCTCAGCATCACGACGGAATGAATTCATTTTTCAGCGTACTGAATAGCCAGTAACTTCTAACAGCTGCTAAGCTGCTTCAGATTCCTTAGTGTGAAGTGGTACCATAGGAACGCCTGTTTCTGTCATAGTTATGAAGACTGAAGCAGTCGGTTTATGTGAAGTTCTTAAAACAGCAGTTGTACATGGCAAACCTCGTACAAGACTGCATTCAGGAGCAGGCAGGTAGACCTTTCGGTTCCATGTGTTTTTCTTTTCACCGTAGCCCTATGGGATTGCTGTGATTTCGAGCTTATTCCATAGGTGAGAAAAGTGAGTGTTACAGAGCTGCTTTAGATAGATTGTAGTAGAGAATAGGATCTGGGTGACGTTAGGTTTCTCCCCCATGAGTCTGTAAGCCTGTGAGTAGTGGATAGAAACAGGGTGGTTTTAACATAAGTGAAGTTCCAGAAAGAGCAGTGTGTGCGGTGGGTCTAGAGACACTCTCAGGTGCTGATGTCGGAAACTCTTGCAGGTGAATGTGTGCAGATGCGTGTTAGAGACCTGCTGGGGCTAGGCTAAGTGAAAGCACGTAGGAGAGCAGGCATCAGGAAGACACAGCTGCCGCCTTGAGGACTGGAGGCTAGGGAGGCAATGGAAGGTTCTAAAGCAGCCAGCCAGCGGTGAACACTTACGATCTAATCTGTAGGCCAAGGCTGCAGGGGTGGAAAGTGTCTGTGTGGCAGGAATGGACATTTATGAGTGAAATCTTCAGAAGACTGAAAAGCAAGCAGGGAAAAAATACTGCAGTAGTATGCACTTATAGACATGGTCACATCGAGTTGAAAGTGGGAAGAAGGGGGCCAACCAGAGGACTGTTGACTTTCTAACAGCCCTAGATCCACCTGTGCCATCAAGAACAAACTATCTAACACATTTTATGTACATAGTGTATGTGTGTATACATATGTGTATATACACATACATACACACGCACAGAGTACACGTACACACACACACACATACACACACACACACACACACTTAGGTAATAGAGCAGATGGGCAGTGGCTGAAGTGCTTAGAATCCTTGGGATTCAACAGATGCTTCCAAAAGTAGACATCATCCATCATGAACAGAGACCATTAGCTTATTTCACTTTCTATATACTAATACAGCATGGGAAAATTATGACATTTCATATTGACCCTCAACATTTAAACTATTGGGTGTAGATCTTGTCTATACATTAGGATAAAGGATGTTCTTTAAAAGAAAAATGTTTCATAGGCTACTCCCAGGAAAGTCCCATGTTTTTAAACCTACCAAGTGGTTTATCCCTACCTAGTAAAAGTTAGCTTTTAAGGTCAGTAGGTTGTCACAGAGATCTGTTTGCTGGCATTAAAGGTGTTGCCACCACTGCCTGGCCTCTAAGGCTGACTAGTGCTTTAGCTCTGCACTCTGATCTTCAGGCAAGCTTTATTTGTTAGAACACAAACGAAAATATCACTACAGTGTGGGGCTGGAGAGATGGCTATGTGGTTAAGAGCACTGACTGCTCTTCCACAGGATCCAGGTTTGATTCACAGCACCGATAGGGAAGTTCACCATCCTTAACTCTAGTCCCCAGGGTATCTGATGCCTTCTTCTGGCCTCTGCGGGCACTGCATGTACCTTCAGTAATGCATGTATACATACATATACGCACATAACCTGCAAACTACTCATACATATGAAAAATACGAATAAAAAGACTGCAAGCGCTCTGAACCTTTTTTTTTTTTTTCTTGAAGTCGGCTGATGGCACTGAAGCGAATGGGGATTGTCGGTGACTATGAGGTATGCTAAACCTTTCCCAATTTCCCAGCCTCTGAGCGCGATCGCAGTGAATGAGAATAATTTCTGGCGACAAATCAAATGAAGAGCAGTAACCAGTACACGTTTCATTTTGTGTTCACAGAAAATTCGTACTTACGCTGTAGCAATAGTAGGTGTTGGCGGAGTTGGCAGTGTGACTGCCGAAATGCTGACAAGATGTGGCATTGGTAAGGTAAAAAGACTTCTCTTTGCCTGTCCAGTAGGGAACTGTTGACCCCTGCAGCAAATCAGGTACAAGTTAGCGCTCTTCTGCTCAATCAGTGCTTTGTTGATTTCTGTTTATTTATGGAATAGCTCTTCTCAAGAGGCTGAGTCATAGCCCTCTCCAAACAAAGGCTCATGTTATTGCTAATTAAACAAAGGACATTTAATTGTGTTCAGGAATTTTTGTTTAGGGTAGTGTAATTTGGAATTATTTTAGATACAGAACCTGTTAGAAATGGTTCTGGGGTGTCTCCCACCCCCAATAGATTCCTAGTATTTTAGCAAGGCAAAAATTTTACTTCTGCTGGAGGGTGTATAGCTATGCCAAGTCAAGCAGGCAGGCTCACCCAGTGAGGGTTCTGCTGGGTTTTTATTCCTAATGTAAGGGCTTCTGTGCCCCACTGAGTGGTCAGAGTTCAGCCCCACACTCTTACGTAGCTGACTAACTCCAGATAGCACAGCTGATGAACACAGTACAACTTTGGGAACAGGATACAACCTTGAACATGTATTTTGATTTCAAGAAATGCTGACCCTGGAAGAATTTGAATTTCTTCCAAGAGACCACTTTAAAGTTATTATTTTTTATATATCCTCTCATACAATACATCCTGACTGCAGCCTCCCCTTCCTTCACTCCTCCCAGTCCCCCCCCCCAACAGTTTTTTTAAAAGTGTTGTCTTATTTGACCTTTGATACAAAAGACTGTAGGACATTTAAGTGGATAAAATGTGCAGATGAAGTGCCAGTTAAACTCAGATAATGGAAAGTGTTGAATTTGAACCAGGGATGTTTTAGATTTTTTTATTTAGCCCATTTTGTTTTCTTTAAAAAACAGACTTGAATTGTAGAACCTTTCTGCTGGAATTTAATCTGTCAATCTTAGGTGTATGAAGCCAAGGACTATTGATATTACTTAGTTGAACAGATAAATTTTGCACAATTATCTGCTCTTTGTTATTTTCATAAAACATGCATTCTCCAATATCGTTTGTTAATAAGTTAATTTTAAATGATATTGCTTGCAGAATTGGTCCTCATTTATCAATATAAAAATGATGCCAACAAAATACTTAAAATGCTTCTTATAATTTTAATATCTTTAAGGTGGTTTATAGAAGCAGGCCAAATTATTGCTTGCTGAGGGCTTGAGTACCTGGTTGATTGGTGGGATGCTGGAGATGCCCGAGGTCAGTGGTAGCCATGTTAAAGCACACTGCCAGACCTGTTCTGTGGTTTTAGTCCTGCAAGTGTCAGAGAGCTTGAGACCTGTCATATTGACTTCCAGGCAATCCTGATACTGCAGAAACTAAACCCTGAGAACCACTGGAGCCTTGCCTGGGCATTCGCTAGGAAGGAAGGCCTAAGGTGCAGTGCATACAGCTGATCAGAATTCGTCTTTTAGTAGACGCTGCACGTTAGTGTTGAGGAAGTGCTCTTTGCCCCAGTAACGGTGTCAGGTGGTACAGACGCTGCTAGATGAGGCCACAGCAGTCATTCCCGAGGACTGCTGTAATGAGGATCACCGGGAAGACTTGGCTAGTGCCATGTCCAGTTACTCCCATGATAAGCAGTTAGGAATTCTGGCAGTGAGATGCAGACACCTGTGTTTTCCCTAACTCTTCCGGTGATCCCACTGTATACCCAATTTTGTAAGCCACACTAAACAGTTAAGTTTCAGAATTCTTTCTCCTTTCTGTAAAACGGATAAGCAAGAAGCTAATTGATTAAGCTTAGTGGGGAAATGGTGCCTAGAAAGCCCAGAGCCCATTTCTTATCTCTGCAGGTAGCTGCAGTTCCCTGGATGACTAAGTCTGCATCAGGGGCTTTGCTTTCCAGATGTGTGGCAGGCCAGAAAGTTGACCTAAGCCAAATAGCGACAGTGTTACAGTGCCCACTTTTTTTTTTTTCACAAAGCCAAATAGGAGTCACAAACTCAGATTTAGTACTCTGTCTCACCTACTAAATATTATTGAGTGAGCCATGGTTTAGGGACTTTGGAGTTATAAAGGGCCTAAGTGGTATCTTTGCTAGCTAGATACTAAGGTTCTCTGGGTATTGTCATAGGCTTTTGTTTGTTTGTTTGTTTGTTTTAAATTTCTGTGTTGAGAAGCATAAAATCAGGTCTGGGGATATAGCTTTGTGGTAGAGCAGTTACCTAGCATAGATTTGGTTGCAGGTTCAATCCCCAGCAGTGGAAACAAACAAAAAGAGAGAGAGAGAGAGAGAGAGAGAGAGAGAGAGTAAAATCTCATTTTTCTAGATTTCTAGGATCTGACCTCTTCATACTGAAGAGAAATGTGATCTGCTCATTTTAGGTGATATGTGTACAGTGGCAAACACTGAAGTAGACAAGAATAAAGCAAGAAAGAATAATTAACTTGTTGATAATTCTCTTTGGTAATGATTTTTAGCTTCAGCTTGGTTGTGTGGTGTGCTGTACAAAGAGAGTCAAGGGAATAGAGCAGGCTTCCCTTTCTCACTGAGCCAGTCTGTAGAAGCAGCACAGCATGGCGTCGGGGAGAGCCCTGCATCAGCTGAGCGCTGTTCAGCAAGGCCCCAGCCACCTTGTCACTAAGCTGAGGATAAAAGATGCTGTGCATTTACCTCACAGGACATTTAGTAAATCGCTGTAAGGCACCAGGTGTTTAGAATTAACTAATGTTATTTCACCACCAACATTAAGCCTATCAAATGAAAAATCCAGTAGTGTCATGTCATTTTTCACTGAAATACCACTATTTTCATTTTAGTTGCTGCTTTTTGACTATGATAAAGTGGAACTGGCCAATATGAATCGACTTTTCTTCCAGCCTCATCAAGCAGGGCTGAGTAAAGTTGAAGCCGCAGAACACACCTTGAGGTAATCATAGTTGCAGCAGAGGGCCGCATGCATTGGAGTCCTGTTAGCTGCAGCTGCAGCAGAAGGCCACACGCAGTGGGGTCTTGTTAGAAAATGAATTTTTTACTTACTCTGAAAAAGTTTTTCCCCCAAGCATTTAAGAACTGTTTAAGTGGCATGTGGCAGCCCATGCCACACATTCCAGCACACAGGACGTTGAGGCCATGTGAGGAGTGGTGTAAATTTGAGGTCAGCCTGTGCTGGAGAGCAAGTACTGGGCCAACCAGGGCTGCGTGGCAAGGCATAGACTCAGAACAAAAACCCAAGTCAGGCAGTTCTTACTTTAAAGACCATACCAAAATGGGTAGTGGCCAGATTTGGCTCATACGCTGTGATTTACCAATCCCAAATATTCTTGGACTAAACTGAAAAAGACATAAAGAAACTATCAGGCTGTATTGGGGCTAAGGCTTTGTTCCCAGCACAAAGGTTGTTCTGGGTTAGAATGGGAGCATTCTTGAAATCTTTTATGAGTCCATATTAGGGTGTCCAACATTGGCCTTGCAGCAGGATATAGTCACCAAGTGCAGTGTAGAGCTGCTCTCGGCGCTCGTCTGCGGCAGCTGCAGCACGTGGGCAGAGGGCTGGACCCAAACGATGCATGTGTTTTCATCCAGGAAATGCAACAGTGGCAGCAGAGGACGACTTTGGATCTTCTCAGACCATTTAAATCCTCCTTGCTGCTTCAACCCTCTCCTCTGCTTTTCCTTTGTTTATTTGTCAGAAACAGCACAGGTCACTGGCCCTCTGCAGACGTGTGAAGGGTGTCACCCTAGCCTGCCTGTCTTCACATTGGCAGATAGAAGCCTTTTCTGTCCTTCCGTCCTCTTCTTACTAGGAGCGTTTGTAATATTTGCTTTTCCCGCTCAGGAACATTAACCCTGATGTTGCGTTTGAAGTTCACAACTACAATATCACCACCGTGGAGCACTTTGAGCACTTCATGAGCAGAATAAGGTGAAATTTGTGAAGGTTTCGTGGGATGTCCTGATGTTCAGCCTGGTTAAACAAGGGCTAGAAAAATCTAGTGACAGTTTTTTCAGCTTTTAGGAAAAGTAATTTTTGTGTAACATTTATGTATTAGACTGTAGTCTAACACACAGACATATGTATGTCCCAAAAAATAAAATTGGGGGAAAATCCTTCTGAAATGACAATGATTCAGCAAGCGGCCCTCAGCTTTATGTTCTGTGCTCTAAACGGATTTTATCCCTGAAAGTCATTTTCTTCAGTCTGTTGGGACCCCTGAAGTAGTTTGATTCAGTTAGCTTTATTCGATGTATGTTTGTAGGGAAGTGTAAACAAGGCAGAGAAACTCCCTGAGTTCAGTGGCACAGGCCTATAATTTCATCATAAGTTCGAGGTTACCCTAGGCAACCTAGACCCTTTCTCAAAACTATAAAAAAATAAAGTAAAATAGCCCTCTATGTATCTCACAGGGCACTTACTTGGCATGCCTGAGGCCCTGACTTGTGTCCCAACAGGACTGAAAAACTGAACCAAAACAAATATCTGTGAGAACCCATAGAGAGATGACAGCCCCATGAATAGACTTCATGCTTCCTTTACTAGTAATGGGGTCATTAATGCTCTAACTCTTTATGTGAGGTCATTAACATTAAATACTCTGTTATAATTGTGTTCAAACATTTAATAAAAAAAACTGACTGCACAAATAAAATTCAGTTGGTGTGTTTTGTGTTCCACTGGGTATATTGATAAACACTTGTAAATCCAGCCCTTGGTAGGCGGGAGCAGGAGGATCACAGTTTGAGATCTTGCTTCAAGCAGCAGTGGGGTTTATATGGGCCATGGGATTTGGGTTCATATGAATGGTGGAACCAGTGACAGTCCTTCTGCCTCAGCCTCAAGTGCTAGGCCTACAGGTGTCAGCCACCAACCCTTAGAACCAAAGAAATGTATTTTGTATCCTCCGTGTTTTTCAAATACAGTTTACTTTCCTTCTCTAGTAATGGCGGCTTAGAAGACGGAAAGCCTGTTGACTTAGTCCTTAGCTGTGTGGACAACTTTGAAGCTCGGATGGCCATCAATACAGTGAGTGTTATGGAAGGGGTCACAGCCCTGGCTCTAACCTGAGTATTGTAACTGAGCGTGATTCTAGGTTTAAACTCTGTACAGCCTGCTTTAAAATGTGTGATGGGAGCTTCTGCCTGGCCTGTGACGCATTACAGTGTCTCACTCTCTTTTGTGTGAAGTAGCAGATGTTTCTGCTGTGTGGTTTTAAAGTAGATGAGTATTTTATGATGCTTATTCTAGTCACCACTGGGTTTTCATTACATTCAGTGTGTGTGTGTGTGTGTGTGTGTGTGTGTGCGCGTGTGTGCGCGCGCGCGCACGCATGTGTGTGCCACCATATTCCTGTGAAGGTCAGAGGGCAACTTGAAGGGGTTGGTTCTCTCTGTGGGATGAGACCATGTGTGATCTAGGAATTAAATTCAGGTCATGAGCCTTAGAGGCAAGCATCTTTCCCAGCTGAGCCATCCTGCCAGCTCTCCATTGGTTTTAACTTTTTGTCTTACTAGGATTAAATATATAAATTGAAAACATTTCCCAAAGATAAATATTTTTATTTTGAATAACTTTTAAATGATTCTTATGATTTTTGTATTGCTGAAGTTTTAAAAAAGTAAGTTTTTCTACTAATCCAGAGAAATCTAGGAAGCAGTGGTTCAGTGTAAGGAATGGAGCATCCTTTGTGTGGAATATGGACGCTGTATCTCAATTATTGCAGCTCTTCTCTCTGACCGCGAAGCCTCAGGATCCATTTAGATAACACCTGATAGTCCACAAAGGAGGATGGCAGTAATTTGTGATGCTTTGTGTTTTCCCCTTTTTCTGTTAAGGCTTGTAATGAACTGGGTCAGACGTGGATGGAATCTGGGGTCAGTGAAAATGCAGTTTCCGGGCACATCCAGCTCATGATCCCCGGAGAGTCGGCGTGTTTTGCGGTAGGCATTGTCTCGGCTCACTGTCACTGTTAGACATCAGTGATCTCCCATAACTGGTGTCTGTAAGTCAGAGGAGCAAAGGAATGTGCAGGGATACTATTTGGAGCATTTCGGATTGTTTTACCCTCTTTTGTTGGCAATTGTTGTCTTCTTTCTCATGTAGTGTGCGCCACCGCTTGTAGTTGCTGCAAATATTGATGAAAAAACCCTGAAACGAGAAGGCGTCTGTGCAGCCAGTCTCCCCACCACCATGGGAGTGGTTGCAGGGATCTTGGTTCAAAATGTATTAAAGTAAGTGATTTTTCTGAATAGTTTTGTATGCTTTTGATTAAAATGTATTTCATAAAGTACTCCAAGAGTTGATATTGTCAACTAAGTAGTTATCTTATACTTAAATTTTCTTCTAAGCATATCATACATACATGGAATTTTATTAGCATTATGTGTGTGCGCGCAAATGTATTCATGTATATATATGAGTATGTGCACACATATGTGTTTATTTAAATGTCAGTTACTCCCTGCATTTGGAATAACTTTGAAAAAAATGATACAGCAATATTCTGTATACCCAGAACATTGGCAGAACATCACTGGGCAAGAGGGCTATATTATGAGAATGCACCATTAGGCATTTCGGTATGCATACATTCATGATTGTGTGTGCAGGCATGCACATGTGCTGCTTGTAGATAGCATCAGTAGATGGCCTCACTCGGTAGTCCTTGCCTTTCACAATGTTTGAGGTGGGGTCTTTTTTTGTTCGCCTTTGCTTACACCAGGATAGTTGGCCTGTGAGCTTGCAGGGACTCTCCTGGATGCCTTCAATATTGTTGTAGGAGCACTGGAATTACAGTCACACACAACTGGCAAGCTTTTACATGGATTCTAGGGATCTGAACTCAGGTCCTCATGTTTGCATGGCAGACCCTTTGCCCACTGAGCCATCTCCCCAGCTCTCATTCTGTTTTATACACAATCTTCTATACAGAAGCTGTCATAGAGTTTCTGTTACTGTGATGAAACACCATCACCAAAAGCAACTCATGAAGGAAGGGATTTATTTAGCTGACACTTCCACATCTTACTCTATTATTGAAGGAACTTAGGGCAGGAATTCAAGGAAGCTGGAGCAGGAACTGAAGCAGTGGCTGTGGGGAAGTGCTGCTTACTTGCTTGTTCCCTATGGCTTACTTAGCCTACTTTTAATAAAGTCCAGGGCCACCTGCCCAGGAGTGTCACCACCCATAGCGAGCTGGACACTCCATTAATCACAAAACTGCCCCCACAGACTTGTCTACAGACCTTTGTGATGGAGACGTTTTCTCTTCCCAGATCATCCAGCTTATGCTAAGTTCTCAAAAACCCAACCAAGACAGAAGCTGTTCACTAGAATGTCATTTGACAGGAGGGGTCACAATGGAGCTCTGTGGGTGTTGAAAATGCTCTTTGACTTACATCAGTGACTTAAGTATAGCTTTATGTTTACTGCACTTAAAATTGCAGTTTATAGAAATACCAGTTTTTAGAATTAGATTTAGTATGACACTTCAGATTTTTGTTTGTGTGTGTAGGGGGCTATGCATGTGTGCACATGTGTATGAAGTATGCTTTTTTGTGTATCCATGTGTGAAGGCCAGAGGGCACTGTTGTGTCTCTCTCTATTTCTTTACCTTTAAAATGACTTTTCCTGACCTCATTGATGACAGTTTCATGCATGTATGAAGTGCAGTCTGATTACTGTAGCCTCCTCTCTGTTTTCTCTGTTCTCCTTCTCCACTGTTGCCCCTATACATCTCCTTCTCACATCCATGACGTCGTTGTTATTTAGCCAGGATCTGTACGGCCATGGGTTTGGAATGTCTGCTGGTGTCTGGTGGGCACTCAGTGGGTACACAGCTGAAGACAATGACTACCCTTCCTCAGAACCCACCAGTAGACAGCAGTTCAGCAGGGAAGAGGGATATGTTGTAGGGAGAGGCTGCTTGTTCGTCCCGGCTACCCGGCTAGCTTAGCCCCAAAATAACCACACAGAAACTGTGTTAATTAAAACATTGCTTGACCCATTAGCTCTAGCTTCTTATTGGCTAACTCTCACATCTTGATTTAACCCATTTCTATTACTCTGTGTATCACCACGTGGCAGTGGCTTACCAGGAAAGATTCGGCATGTCTGTCTCTGGCGGCTCCATGGTGTCTCTCTCCTATTTTGCCTTTCTTCCTCCCAGCATTCAGTTCTGTCTTCCCCTCCTACCTAAGTTCTGCTCTATCAGGCCAAGGCAATTTCTTTATTCATTAACCAATATAAGCAACACACATCAGGGATAGGCTCATCAGCCCCTCCCTGACCCATGACTGACTGTTGGTATTGTGTAGACCCTTTGCGAACAGCCATAGCTGCTGTGGGTGCCCTGCCCAGTAGATAGTATTTTCAGCCCATCTCCTTGTCTTCTGCAGTGTTCCCTGAGCAGTATGGAGTGGTATAAATGTCTGTATTCAATTCTGTTCATTGCAGAGGCTTTTCTCAGTAAGGCTGGGGAGCATCTGTCTATGGGTACAAGCTTAAATACTTAGAAGACAGCCTGCTGCCATAGGCTACCTAAACAGCAGTAGTAATTTGCCCATAGGGCCTAAGACTTTAACCACAGGTTTCTGACTGCATTTACGGTAGTAGGTTTGAATTCCTTTTTGTGGAGCAGGCCTCATATCCAATCAGTGAGTGGGTGGTTCTCACCCCACACCTCTGCCAACAGTAGTGCCATCACTCCACCCGAGGGCCCATCTTACCTGGCAGGTTAGTATTATTGAATGTAGGGATTGCAACTAGGTAAGGCAATTGATGCCTTTTCTTCCACAGGAGCCTGTAGAGCACCTTCTGGCACTACAAAAACTAGCCAATGGGGAAGAGGCTTCAGCTCACTTCCAGCTTCATTTCTCTATGCCTTGCACTGAAGGTGTGTTTCATGTTATTTTTTGAGACAGGGTATCTTACTGATCTAGGACTCACCATTTTGGCTACACTGGCTGTACAGCAAAGCCCTGAGATCTTCCTCTCTCCGCCCCCTCTCCCTCTCAGTCTGGAATTACAAGTTCATGGTGCTATGGCTGCCTTCTTATTGGCTGCTGGAGACCCAGACCCAGACTCCCAGGCTTCCACAGCAAGTCCTTTATCCACTGAACCATCTCCCAACCCCTGATTGCTCAGGTTTAAAAACACATCTCTCATGCTGCAGTTTCCCTGAGTTCCGTGTGCTGCTCTGCGGTTTAGCATGCCATACTTTACTTGCCAGCAGTTTATCTTTATTAGAGGCTCAAAGATAATAGCTCGTTATCTGGTGATGAGAAGTAGTACCCTTGCCTTGCCTTCTTCATTCCGCAATCACTCAAGCAGCCACTGTGAGCCGAGTTTTATAAATAAGGTGGAGAAAGTTGCTGTTTCCTAGGTTGTTAGAAAATTCATTATCTACTCCAAAGTTTTTTTTAGAAATTCACTTCTAGTACTTTTTTTTCCTTATTAAGTATAATTTGATTTTCTTTTTTTTTTTCTTTTGTGTTTTAAGATGTGGTCTCATTATATACCCCTGGCTTGCCTGGAACTCACAGAGACCTGCCTGCTTCTCCCTCCCAAATGCTGGGATTAAAGGTGTACCCCACCATGCCCGGCTAATTTGATTTTCTTTTCCAGGTTTCTGTTAAATTTTGGCACTGTCAGTTTTTACCTTGGATACAATGCAATGCAGGACTTTTTCCCTACCATGTCCATGAAGCCAAACCCTCAGTGTGATGACAGAAACTGCAGGAAGCAACAAGAAGAATACAAGGTAAATACAACCAGTCATTGGTCAGGAAGCCTGAGGATCACATGACAAGGCCAGTAACTTTGAAAAAAATTTGCAATATAATATAAATGGTTCTGGATTTTCATAGTTTTATAGTTAATTTAGCATACTTCAGAACAATGCCCGTTCTTGCTTTTGGTAAGATAAAAGTCCCATGTGAATTCTTGTGGAGTGCTGCTGCAGAGAACTGAGAAGAAATCCCGATGTTTGGTGCTGTTTGTTTTCTACAGAAGAAGGCCGCGGCCCTGCCCACACAGGAGGCTGTACCCAAGGAGGAGGAGGAGATAGTCCATGAAGACAACGAGTGGGGTAGGAAGCCTTTGTGCACCGGCCTCACTTTGGAAGCACACTCTTTGCTGGGAGGGAGAATAAGACTACATGAAATTTCAGATAATTCTTAGACTGTTTTCTGCAGGGATGGGGGGTGGGTTGTAAGAGTGTACAAAGATATAAGTGATTCTTAGAGTTTTTTTGAGAATGCACACAGGTCACATTTAATCCTCCAGGTATTGAGCTGGTGTCGGAGGTTTCAGAAGAGGAACTGAAGAACTCTTCGGGTCCCATTCCCACCTTACCTGAAGGAATTACAGTGGCATACACAGTCCCAAAGAAGGTATTTGTGAAACTCGATTTACCCATATGTAAATATCAGAGAAGAGAAAATACATATTTATCTTCCTTCAGCTTCATCTTACATCGAAGGCTATTGAAGTGTTTCCTGTCTAGATATCTATGCAGTTAGCCTTGTCGCTAAGGAGACAGGCACAGCTCTTTGGAAACTGAGAAAGTAGAGACTTGGAAAAAATCCACGGATGTATCCAATATAATAGATTTAGTTTAAATTAAAATATTACTTTCACACGGTTTGCAGTTGGAGATGCACCTGGATGTGTAATAAGACCTGGAAGCAGAGGTGGTGGCGGGGGGGCGAGAAAGAGAGCAGACACACGAGTAAACCTACAGAAATACAGACTTTCTCAAGTGACAACTGACAGAGCAGGGGCTGGACTCACCAGGCAAAAGATAAACAAATAGGCAGTTGTTACTGAAAAGTTGCTGAACGTTATTAATCATCAGGGCACGCAGATGAAAACAGTGAGGTGCATGTCACTCCGAGTGGAAAGGTCAGTGCTGGCAAGGATGTGCGCAGAGGGATCCTGGGATGTAGCAGTGCCCTGCTGTCAGGAATGGAAAGCAGTGCATCTGGTTTGGAAAACAGAATGGTGGAGGCTCCTCTAAAAATTAAGAGAATTACCATATATGTGATGTATGTGAGCCAGTGTTCTCATGGGCGGTAAGTATCTAAAGTATATATAGCCAAAATGCCCACCGATGAATCAAAGATACACACGCGCGCACGCACACACACACACACACACACACAGGAACACTATTGAGCCATAAGAGGATGGCAACCTGTCATTTGTGAAAAGACAGATGGAACTGGACGTAATTAAGTAAAATAAGATGGCACAGATAGACAGACTCCACATGATCTCACTCATGTGGGCTCTAAAAGGTTTGATATTATAGAAGCCGAGAGTGGAGTGGTGCTCCCGGTGAGCGGGGAGGAGGGCGGAAGGCTGGCCAGCAGCTTGTAGGTTACAGCTTTCTAGGAACATTAAGCTATGGTGCCTGTCGCAGAAGGGTAGCTGTAGGTAGTCACTGTTGTATGTTAGGTAGAAGGAGTGATTTTTGAATGTTCTCATTACAAAGAAATGGTTATCCTGGCAAACATCACACAGTATATACACGTACCATAACTTCATGGTCTACTATAAATAACAGTTATTTTATATTAAAAATACGCTCAGTAGAAATGTCAAGAATATTGAAGTTGCTGCCTCCTGAACAAGATTTTGGTGAGGAATATAAAGAACTGCATTTTCCCTAAATATTTCAAAATGTACTTATCAGAGAAAATCAGCTTTTTAAGCATGTTGAGCATGGGTAAAGCAAACTGTTAAGGACACGCACTTTTGTATGGTTGTTTTCATTGCATTTCCCCTTTTGTTGACAGCAAGAGGGTTCTGTTTCTGAGGTAACAGTGGAAGATTCTGGTGAAAGCTTGGAAGATCTCATGGCCAAGATGAAGAACATGTAGACCGTGGACTAGCATTTGGTTTATTTCTGTACTTATTTTATTCCCTTAGTATTAAAGTAAATCAAAACTAATAAAACTTAGGGCCGCCTTAACTGGCATGTGAATCTTTACTGAGTTATCATGCTGTGTGGAACACTGGTGGTTGTTTCCCTCTACAACAGAAAGGAGAGGCGAGGCCAGTCCCATTCCATATTTTCCTTTACAGTAGTTAATTCCTTGTCTATGGACTGAGGCCCTGGACTATAAGAGTGCAGATGGAGGATGGATGTTTAGCCTGGCAGCTGTGGCCAGCAAGTGTCTTGAGTGTTTGAATAGCTTCCTGCCAGTTACCCACTACTACTAATCTGACGAGGAGTGACTTCACACAGTCAGCCTATAGAAAAAAGGTCCCTTCAGATGTTTCTTAGTGAGATATGTCTTCTTCATTGGCAGTGTGTGAACCTGTGAGTTAAATATTTAAGACAAAGCATAGATAAATGCAAGCTGTCTTTGTGGACAGACAAGAACATTCAAGAAAAAACATCAATTGAATTCTGGTTTTTACTGCCCAAGAAAAAGGCATTGCCTTCTGTAACAGAAATGCCTGGAGTTGCCATGTTACTGAATAACAGACACAAGACTGTGTGCACCATAGAGACTGTCTACATCATAGAGACTGTCTGC